GCGTCGAAAATGCTGTTTTATCGAGATAAATAACACCTCAGAGCATACAGAATAATTATCGCAAAAAGCATTTAACGTACACATACTTGTTTCCAGGACCATTTACAGTGGTCATTACTCCGAAAATTTCACATTTACGCTCAAAATGCGGCAGGGGTCAACATGACCCCTTCCGCGGTTCTAGGTATACGAAAATGTCAGCGGTTCTAGTGTTAAACAGTGCATGTTCACTTTCATAATAGAAAACAAAAAAAACAACAACATTTATTTCGTTGTTTTTGTGTACTTTACAAGCTGCTTCCGTTCCATCAGTAACTATAGCGAAATTATAGCGGATACGTTCACAGTTATTTCAGAGTATGCCTGGAAGTATTTAACTTCTTCTGGGTCTAGTCTTAAATATCTTTTCATAGGTGTGTTATTAAATCCATAAGCTAACATCAAAAACTTAGAAGGGATTTGGCATAACTTGCACGCCGTCTACAAACTGCAGCACACACAGTTAAAGATGTTAAGCGTATTGGTAAGGTTTGATTACGAAAGAGACAGCAAAGGTACCTGGCAGAAAGATGGTTCAAAGCAAGCTGGCACTCAAACGGGCCGATGAAAATTTAATACACCATGAAAAATCAGAAGGGACGGGGCGAAGGCCCTCTCAAACGCCGCTGGCAGGCCAAGCTAGTCCCGCTCCCTGCCGAACCGAGTAGCCGGTGGAGTGAAGCGGAGCTTGCAACTTGGTTTGGCGGAGTTTCAGTTCTAACAACATTTTTCGCCTTGAGACAGTTGTTTTAGTATTTGTCGGCATTTGGTTTGAAAATCTTGCGCACATGATTTCTCAGCCAATCGACGCGTCCTACTAACCAAGTTCGATCTCCCGGCGCGCCGTTCAACGCTGTCTAATCTCCGGGCGCGCCGTTCAACACTGTCCGATCTCCTTTTCGGGGTTTGCAGCGAGGTTGAAGTTTAAACGCCTCGTTTGTCTGTTCGTCAACATGATAGCATTTTATTACTGTCCCAATGTGTTGCGTAATCTTTGAGGCTCACATAGAATTTATTAGTTTCCTTATTAGTGAACTATCAACAAAGATGTCGCGGCTTGAAGCCTTCGGTGCAGATAAAAGCTGAAAAGGAGATCGGACAGCGTTGAACGGCGCGCCCGGAGATCGAACTTTGTGGAACGTCGCACCCGGAGATTGGACAGTGTTGAACGGCGCGGCGGGAGATCGAATTTCGTTCGTAGGACGCGTCGCAATATTGATTTTAAATATTCCAAAAAAATCGCACCCTTGTAGATTGATAAGGTAAAGATAGGCCTATTGACACGCCATGATTTTTGTTTTGGTTATTAAAACTCAGGGAAGCGTTTCTTTTAAAAATTGGCATGTCAATTTCTTCACCTTATCAATCTACAAGTGTGCGATTTTTTTGATGATTTTTAAAATTAATATTGGCTGAGAAATCATGTGTGCTAGATTTTTGACCCAAATGCCCACAAATACTAAAACAATTGTCTCAAGGAGAAAAATGTTGTTAGAACTGAATCTCCAGTTTTCTGAGAGGTATGTAGGTGTGTAGAAACCAAGGGCGTGGTACATTTAGGGGTCAGATCAACCGTTCAGTAACTATAAGGGGCTGGAAAAGTATGAAATAATGGCAAATATCACTTTACCCCCGCCCCCCTTAATAAGAGCAATTTTACGGCGTGATAGAGGGCAGCGGAGGTTATTTCGGTACTCACCTTTGTTGCACTTCTCTGATTGCTCCTGTGTAATCGCAATAGTTCTAACAATGCCATCGCTATCAAAAATTTGGAAAGCAACTAGCTCTACCAGGTGGAATGAACTTGCGCGGATGGAGTGCTTTGGGGATAAATGAACTATCCCCTTTCCCGCGGAAATCTCGGAGCGCTCCAGCCGCGCT